ATGGTTTTATTTATTAGATTAGGGGATTTAGTTTTTTTTTAGTAATCAGTTTCATACAACTATATATTATATGGGTATGAAAATCTTATTATTTTTGTAGCCTTAATGATACCAAATTTAAGATCAAAATCTGATTTTTGAAACATTTAAACTTTGATTGTTCCGATTGCATATCACCATAATCAACTTTAGATATAGATCTGAACACCCATTAAGAAACAAAAAACAAATCATTTAAAGAACTTATTCAAAAGTGGAATGATAGTAATTTCTTGGACAAATTAACATGGAAAGTGTTGCATTCCTCATAAGACCAACTCCATTTGGAATTGCATCAATTATTCGTCTATCAAAAAAATGAGCAAAGTTGGCCAATTTTCTAATCCCCGCAGTTAAGAATCTTCCATAAAAGGCATCTATGTAACCCCGATTATATGACCAATCATATATAGAATTTTTTATTTTGTCATAAAAAATTCTATTAGGACCCATTTTAACAAATGCATTAAGGAACTCCAAATTTTGAAAAGATGAATAAACAGGTTTATATAAAAAAAAGGCTATAAATATTCCGAAAGAGGAATTACCATTTAGCGGGGCTACTAGGACTTTTTACGAGACAGAGGGGGATCTTTTGGTTTGAGGGTTAAATTTGTCAAAATGGATGCTTCCTTGGTACTTTCTATTTTTTGCTTTTTATAGCAACCTACTTACTGATTTTACTTTTTATAGCATTGTACTTTCAAGATTTACGAGTAAATTGAAGAGCAGGAAATTGTCTGTACATAAGAGCATGGATAGTAGTGAGATGATGGTGAACATGATGAGTGGACTAAAAAAACAGAATGATTTAATATTCTTAAAAATCAGAAAATCAGAATTAAACAAACATTAAATGTACCATGAGAATAACAATATTATTAATCTTTTACATCTCATTTGATATAAATAATTTGAAATTTCGTAGGAAAAATAAATTTTCCGTTTTTGATAAGTTACCAAAGTCAAGAAATATCATTGCTAGCTATTAACACTACTTAAGGTATGTCATATTATCAAACAATTTCATAAGATTGCATAATCAGTAGTGTATAGATTCTAAACAACAAAAATATCACCATGACCAAAATACAAAATGATATAAATGTTCTTTGTTATGTGTCTTTTTTTTTAATATTATAACATATTCCGAATCACAAAAATGACAATACCTTTTTGATGTGAAGTATCAAAAGAAAGGAAGGAACTAATTTGTCTTTATGTTAAGTTGCAAAATAGATCATTAGTATTTGATGTTGTTGAACAATTTTTGGTACAATTGTATAATCTAATAATATGATTATAATATCATGCTACTTGCATTATCTAAAGCTCTTTGACTGTTTTTCGCAATTCTAATGTCTTGTTCCGTTTTGTAATAATCTCATCGGTATTAACCAATACGAATGACGTGCAAATGCATTGGAGTTACTCACGCATGCAAGAAAGGCTTGACGAAGATACATGTGGCCATTAAAAGGATGGTAAAAGCATGACCTTCTCCCAAAGTGTCAAATCCAAGTGCGAAGAGCATAGAAGATAATATATCCGGAAACAACCGCAAGTTTCAAATTTGTAGTAATTCTTAAAATCAAGTACTAACTAGAGGTTGCTATTTTGTATCAGAAGGCAGTCTATCCGAATATGTTGAGCACATTCATTCAAATGAAATAGTTGAGATTGAAGATAGTTCATTTGAAATAGGAGTCTTGGATCTTGTAACTTTCTTTTCATTAACAGATTCCACTTTCCTTACATCTTGATTCACAACTGTTGCCTTGTTTCTCCTTGATTGCCTTGTACCCTTGTCAGCATTACCTTGAGAAAAACAATATTATTAATCTTTTACATCTCATTTGATATAAATATTTGAAGTTTCATAGGAAAAATGGATTTTCCGTTTTTTATAAGTTACCAAAGTCAAGAAATATCATTGCTAGCTATTAACACTACTTAAGGTATGTCATATTATCAAACAATTTCATAAGATTGCATAATCAGTAGTTTATAGATTCCGAAATATCATCATGGCCAAAATACAAAATGATATAAATGTTCATTTTTATATGTATTTATTTTTAATATTATAACAAATTCCGAATCACAAAAATTACAATACCTTTTTTATGTGAAGTATCAAAAGAAAGGAATGAACGAATTTCTCTTTATGTTGAGTTGCAAAATAGATCATTAGTATTTGATGTTGTTGAACAAATTTTGGTACAATTGTATAATTTAATAATAATGATTATAATATTATGCTACTTGCATTATCTAAGCTCTTGCATTATCTAAAGCTCTTGGACTGTTTTTTGCAATTCTAATGTCTTGTTTCGTTTTGTAATAATCTCACCAGTATTACATCAATACGAATGACATGTAAATGCATTGGAGTTACCCACGCATGCAAGAAAGCCTTGAGAAAGATAGGTGTTGCCATTAAAATGATGGTAAAAGCAAGACGTTCTCCCAAAGTGTCAAATCCAAGTGCAAAGAGCATAGAGGATAATATATCCGGAAACAACCGAAAGTTTTAAATTTGTAGTCATTCTTAAAATCAAGTACTAACTAGAGGTTGTTATTTTATATCAGAAGGCAGTCCATCCGAAGATGTTGAGCACATTCATTCAAATGAAATAGTTAAGATTGAAGGCAGTCCATTTGAAGATGTTGAACACATTCACTCAAATGAAATAGTTGAGATTGAAGCAGATGACATTCCTTTGACACTATAGAAGGCATAGGTATTTACAAAAACATATATACATTTATTTTTAATCTTACAATCAAATAGTAACTAGAGGCTTTTATTTTGTATCAGGCGGATCGACACATTTATTTTCAGGCAAAACCCAACCCGATATATACAAAACCATTGTTAGTGAGATATAGGTATGACACATACATGTTTAGTTCTTTTAGGTTTGGTATGTACAAATATAGCATATATATGTCATACCTGTACATACCAAGCCCAAAAGAACTAAATAGCATATATATGTCATACCTGTATCTCACTAACTATGGTTTTGTATATATCGGATCGGGTTTCGCCCGAATCTAAATGTGTCGTTCCTCCTTATACAAAACAAAAGTCTAGTTACTATTTGATTGTAAGATTGAAAATACATGTATATATGTTTGCGTAAATACCTATGCCCTCTACAGTGTCAAAGGGAACGTCATCTGCTTCAATCTCAACTATTTCATTTGAGTGAATGTGTTCAACATCTTCAAATGGACTGCCTTCAATCTTAACTATTTCATTTGAATGAATGTGCTCAACATCTTCGGATGGACTGCCTTCTGATATAAAATAACAACCTCTAGTTAGTACTTGATTTTAAGAATGACTACAAATTTAAAACTTTCGGTTGTTTCCGGATATATTATCCTCTATGCTCTTTGCACTTGGATTTGACACTTTGGGAGAACGTCTTGCTTTTACCATCATTTTAATGGCAACACCTATCTTTCTCAAGGCTTTCTTGCATGCGTGGGTAACTCCAATGCATTTACATGTCATTCGTATTGATGTAATACTGGTGAGATTATTACAAAACGAAACAAGACATTAGAATTGCAAAAAACAGTCCAAGAGCTTTAGATAATGCAAGAGCTTAGATAATGCAAGTAGCATAATATTATAATCATTATTATTAAATTATACAATTGTACCAAAATTTGTTCAACAACATCAAATACTAATGATCTATTTTGCAACTCAACATAAAGAGAAATTCGTTCATTCCTTTCTTTTGATACTTCACATAAAAAAAGGTATTGTAATTTTTGTGATTCGGAATTTGTTATAATATTAAAAATAAATACATATAAAAATGAACATTTATATCATTTTGTATTTTGGCCATGATGATATTTCGGAATCTATAAACTACTGATTATGCAATCTTATGAAATTGTTTGATAATATGACATACCTTAAGTAGTGTTAATAGCTAGCAATGATATTTCTTGACTTTGGTAACTTATAAAAAACGGAAAATCCATTTTTCCTATGAAACTTCAAATATTTATATCAAATGAGATGTAAAAGATTAATAATATTGTTTTTCTCAAGGTAATGCTGACAAGGGTACAAGGCAATCAAGGAGAAACAAGGCAACAGTTGTGAATCAAGATGTAAGGAAAGTGGAATCTGTTAATGAAAAGAAAGTTACAAGATCCAAGACTCCTATTGCAAAGAAATCTTCTGGAGGAAAGGGTAAAAGCAAAGCTGAGGTTCAACAGCTTGAGGAACCATCAGAGCCTGCAGGTAGAAGGAAACAAGGCGAAAATCTGTTGGAAAGAAGAGCAATCAAAAGATTCTTCTGAAAAACAAATGAAAGCAGTTGCCTGGAAAGAAGAACATTCTTTCTTTTGATATTATTTGTAGATTATTCTTCTCTGAAAACGTTATTTGCCACACCTGCCACTACTCGAATCAGTCGTGTGAATGACCCTCAGGAAAATTCTGTCAGTCTTGCCCTGCTTGATAAAGGTAGTGGGACTTCTTCATTTTTTTGATTGAATAATTTGAATTCTACAGAATGTTGACTCGTTTTTTATTATGATATCATTTTATAGATGAGAATGCAACACCAAATCCAGCATTGTCTCTGAATGCGTTTCTTAAAACACCGAGTCAGTCATGTAGAAGATCATCAGCAAAGTACAGTAAAAACTGCGCTTCCAGATAAAGGTAGTGCAATTTCTTCACCTTTTTGATCAGATAATTTGAATATTTATGATTCTGACACAATTTCTTTTTATTTTTTATTTTTTTATGTTTCTGTTTTATAGATGACATAGAAAGTAATGCAACATAAAGTTCAGACGTATCTCTGAAAGCCTTGTTTGCAACACCTGCCATAACTCGAGTTAGTCATGTTGAAGACAATCAGCAGAGTATAGATGACACCAATACAACAGAAGGTCCAGATTCATCTTCCAAAGTGTAAATGAATACACCTGCTTCAACTCAAGTCGGTCATGGCAAACATCTTCAGGAGAAAACCATCGAATATGCCCTTCCTATTGAAGGTAGTGAAAGTTAATTTCCTATTTAGTTTGGTTTTAGAGTTTTTTTTCTGACTCATCTCTCTTTTTATATATAGATGACATGGAAGGCAATGCACCACAAAATCCGAATTTGTCTGTGAAAACATTTGCACCAGCCACAACTTGGGTCAGTCATGTAGAAAACTATCAGCAGAGTACAGTAAAATTTACCCTTCCTGCTGAAGGTAGTGCATTTTGTTCACCTGTTGATTGAGTAATTCGCATTAAAGAGACTTTTGGCTTATTCCTTTTTTTTGATCCTGTTCTGTAGATGACACAAAAGGCAATGCAACACAAAGTCAAGATCCATCTCTGAAATTGTTATCTGCAACACCTGCAACAACACAAAATCAAGATTTGTCTCTGAGAACATTGTTTGCAACACAATCCACAACTCGAGTCAGCCATGTAAAGGAACATGAGCAGAGTACAGTCAGATTTGATCTTCCCAATGAAGGTAGTGCAAGTTCCTCACTTATTAGTTTGATTTTAAAAGACTTCAGGTTCCTAATTTCATATGTTATCATTTTGTAGATGACATGGAACACAATGCACCAGAAAATCCAGACTCATCTCATAAAGTGTTTCCTAAAACACCAGCCACAACTCATAGATTTGTCCTTCCTGATGAAGGCAGTGTGGCTTCTTCACTTGTTGATCAAATAATTTATTTTTAAGAGACTTCTGCCTCATTCTTTATTCTGAATTTCTGATATTGTTTTTAAGGGAATGTGACACAAAATCTAGATTTGTCTTTGAAAAATTTGTTTGCAACACCTTCCACATCTCAAGTGAGTTATGTACAACACAGTTACCAGACTGCAACTCTTTCTTGCATGTTTTATAGACAAAAAGCAAGGCACTGCAACACAAAATCAAGGTCATGGTGAAGATAAAAAAAGTGAGACTTTTAGAGATATGAACTTTCAAGATTTTGTTCATAAGTACTTTGATGATGAAGTAGATTATTATCCTGGTGACAATTCGAGTAAGGACAAAATGGATGAAATTAAACAACATGACTTGCCAAGTGAAGTAGCAGGAACAAGTCACCATGATGCTTCTGGCTTAAAAGATAGGTCCTTTTTTTACCGGTGAAGGTATATGAATACCCTTTTTTTATGTCTTTAGTAAATAAAATGTTTTTGATTATGAAAAAACTTATAGCCCTATCTTTCTTTCGATTGTTTTGGTAGACAATATGCAAGGTACTACAACAGATCTCCAGGTCCAGTGAGGATCCAAAAAGTGAGATTTTTGGAGGCCCAAACTACAACTTTGCGTGTACATTTTTTGATGATGATGAAGTAGATTTTGGTTCCAGTGACAACTCGGGTGATGAAATGAAGCAACAAGATACAGGTACATGATTTCTGCTTTCATTTTTTTTTTGTTTGGACATATACTTTACTGGTGCTTTATATGTGGACATTACTACAATTAGGTTGATTTAAAAAAAAACATTTGTAATAGAAAAAAAGGAGGATGCTATATAATAAACAATTTAATGGTAGTAATAGTAATATTGAATATATCGCTTTATATAAAATACCGCCTGATAAGATATCTTTGATTTTGGGCGTAGGGAGGAGAAATGTAACAGCGATGATGTAAGGTTACAGAGGTACAAAGACTCGGTTTTCTAACAAGTGACTTAAGAGCGTATAGCAATGTCTTTGGGTAAAAAGAATGTTTATGTTACATTTAGATAAAGGGGATTGGTGTGTAGTCGAAATGGTATTTTTATATTTGACTACCTCGTACTTTGGAAGGAAAAACTTAGACTACTTGTGATGTATTTTGTTTAAGTTTCTATAACATTGCTTGACCACCTTACTTGTAATTTTGAGTAGAGGACATTGCAAAGTTCTTAGATTACTTGTTTTGGGTCTTATTATCGCTTAAACAAATATCTTATATCACAGATGGGGTGGGGTGGGGTGGTAGTAGGGACAATTTAATAATTATTTACTTAAATTTACTTAAAGAAGCTAAGTACCCTTTAGTCATTTTATATGGTAAGAGACAATCTATTTTACAAAATAGAACCCGAGGCTGTCATAGTTAAAAAAAAAGGTGGGCTTGAAGTGAAATAATCATGCAAATACAAAGACCATTTATGTAAGGGATAATGACTTAAAAGGTAATATATTTTTCGATTTGTACACATTTGGTCACTGAGTTTTTTTTCGTCCACACTATGTACAAAATGAGAAATATATTACCCTATTAAGTCATTTTTTCCGGCTAACCTAGAGTAATCGGTCATAAGGATTGAATATGTACAGTTTAACAAGTTGAAGGGGTAAATGTGGACAAAAAAAACCTCAGTGACCAAATGTGTAAAAATCAAAAAATATATTACCCTTTTAAGTCATTATCCCTTTATGTAATTTTATTTTAAACTTTATAGCTTTTGTATGAAATAATCAACTATTGATTCTCCCTTACTTTATTTTATGATGTGATCTGTCAATTTTAGCCATGATAGTTTTCAAAGTGGTTTTCGGGTGTGAATAAAATCTCTCGATTAGTAGTTAAAACTTAAAAGTGTTGTTTTCGTTTAATGCTGATAACATGTGGGTTCTTATGTAATGTCAAAAGAGTATGGTAAAAAAAGCAAGCAAGAGAGAGATCAAAATTTGATTCTTAGAAAAAACATAGAAAAAGAAGATTCACATATCAAGAATTGAACTTTACATGGACAGTTTTGGTCTTCGTAGTACATCATGAACAAAAACAAATACAAGATCACGTGGCTTATGGATTTTTAAAGCCTCAACCAAAAACATGAAATGAAAAAAAGCAAAAATTACTAGAGTATCTCTAATGGAAAGTTTTTTATAACTTATTATTATTTAGTTGAGTGGTCAAAACAACTTAACACCGTTAGAGTATATGACTTTATTGCTCATTTTTTTTATCATTCTATTGAATGGTCAATATAGTTTAATACTATGAACACCCTAACCCTTTCTCTTTAATAATATTATATTTTATCTCATTGACTTAATTTTAAGTATTTATTATTTATCTAAAGTTTATAGATAAAAAATATATAAAAACATAAACAATAGTGATATGTGAATCGTTTGTACGCGAGTAAATGTTTATATTAAAATACGACGTGTTTAAAAAACAAATAGTTAAACGAAAGTATTTTATATAACATTTTAGATAGATAAGGACAAAAAAAATATAACCATTGGAAAAACAATTTAATTAGAGGTTAATATAATTAAATAGTGAGATAGACAATTTTATTTTTTTACCATTGAAGATGTTTTTTACATTTATAAGGGCATGAAGCTTTAAATAGTACAAGCAGCTCTCAAAGACGAATTAGAGAAGGATGAAGCGACTAGTCAATAGGAAAATATGATGGTGTTGGTTGTTGAAAAACTAAAGCAAAAGATGCGGCTAATTTATTTACAAAACTAAAACAATACTCTTCACGTGGTTGTCTACGTGGAGAATATCTCTTCTTCCTTGCAAGAGCCAGGGACACTCTCTTTTGAGTTTCTATTATTTCAAAAAAGCAGCACCGAGGAGGTGAAATTCATTACAGGTACTCATCGCATCTGTTCTGTTGAATGATATTTCTTTTAATTTTCTGTTGTTTGATTTTGTTATTAATGTCTGCAAATAATCAATCAATTTTTAGGGTTTTAGTTCGATCTTTAGCTTGATTTTTTAATTTTTATTTTTGTTATGGATGCAGATGCCTAATAGCTCACTCGGTGATAGATCCAACCGGTGCAAAGCAATGATTTTGTTATGAATGCTAATGCACAAAAAAGCTTGTGCTGGTTGAACTTTACACAGATCTGACTCCATTTTTTGAGGTTAGTTTTTATTTTTCTCTTTTGCCCCTTATGAGAATGATGAGTTTCTTCATGTTAGAGGTTCTTTTGAATCCAACAATAAGGTTAGGAAGTTCATAACTTTAACTGTTTTAGGGCTTGATAGAGATTTGTCTTAATTCTGGTTTTCTGATCCTTCAAACACAAAATCATATTCTGGTGTATGTATAATTATTCAACTCTTGATCTGATCAACTCAAAAAGCATTGTTGTGATACCCATCTGCACCAAAAAGTATCGTTTTATTAATGTTACGAGTGGTATATTTTCCAAAATATAGTGTCTGAATGAACTAATTGAAAGTTTATGATGTAAAAGAAAAAAAATAGTAGAACTATGCTGAACATTGGCTTTCATCCTTTTGACTCGATTCTGATCTGTAGTCATTCAGGGCCATTGTCTATTATAACAATATTATATTTCTTCCTTGAAAAATCTACAAAATTATAGCATTGTCTTTTCACTATTTTGATGACTTATCTATAATTGGGTTAAACAAAAATGTTACACGGGGTATAATAAATAAGTATTTTGTTATTACTGAAAGACATTTACTGATGGAGATTTTGGGCTAATGTATTTCTTTGTTTCATGTATTGTGCAGTCATCCCCAGGCACTCCAGTAATATATCCTACAGTGTAGTAGGTTTGGTATGCCACAACTATTAAGGATTGTGATTGTTTAGACAGCCACATGGAATGCACTTAAGTGCAAAAGATAAAGAAGAGATGCTGTTAATGATCTATAACTCGCCTGCTCCTGACATATAAATCGATTTATAACTGGTCAAATAAGTCAGGTATTTTTCAATTGAAAAATCTATCCATTTATAGCAAATTTTATTCAAACGTAAAGCAATTTTTTATGCTATAATGGGGACCTTTTTCAAAATATAATATCCTAATAAGAAAGAATTTTAAAGTACAGTGCTATGATTGGGTAGATTTTCCAAAGTACAATGACTTGAGAAGTAAAAAATTGATAGTGCAATGTTGTAATAGCATAATACTTTCATTTCTTTGTACTACAACATTGTGATTTTGAAAAGTCACCCCAATTATAGCATTCTTTTTGCCACACACATTATAACATAACCCTAATGTTATATTACAAAAATTATTGCATAAACTCTTGCCGCAAAGCGCGGGCTGAAGACCCTCTTTAAGGACAAAAAGCAAATCAATTAAAGAATTTATTAAACAGTGAAATGTTGGTAATTTCTTGGACAAATCAACAAGGAAAGTGTTGCATTTTAGGAGAAAGAAGGAGATTTTTTGGTTTAAGGGTAAATGTGTCAAAATGGATGCTTTTGTATTGGATCTAAATCATTAAATCATAATTGTATAAACTAATAATAATGATATAATGTTTATCTTTTTGTGTGAAAGTTCCCTTTTCAACACATTATGCATCTAAGATGGACTCACATGTGGAGGGGATTTGTAAAAAGATCAAAATGACCATCTAATTCCATTAAATACTAATTGTTGACCCAAAGCCTTTTATTGTAGTCCTCTTTTATTGTAGTCCGCGTGGATTATGATTATTAAATAGTCAAGTTTAATAATCGTTTCATTATGGTCGTTACAATTTTCTAAAAAGTTTAATCATTAAGGTTTCACCATTGAAGAGTAGGTAGGTGAGTTGGTTATTTACATATAGTATTAGTATTTTTGGAATGTGGGAGTTTTGATAGGCAGGGGCGGAGCCAAAAAAAAATTTTAGGGTGTTCCTCATAAATTAGTTAGAAAACACACACACTCATATATATATATATATATATATATATATATATAGAGAGAGAGAGAGAGAGAGAGAGAGAGAGAGAGAGATCGTTAATTTTGAAGGTCCTATGTGAAAACTAAAATTGATCCTCTCTAAATATAACTTTTTTTTATATAAACAAAATAAATTCAAGGGAGTGAGTTGTAACATGACAAAGCTAAAAACGTAACTAAATTAATTAAAATAAACAAATAAAGTTTTATAAAAATTGAGGGGTAGAATATATAAATTTCTAAAACTAATTTGTTAAAGAAATTAGAAGATGAGTTAAATTGTGAAAAAATGAGAGTATAAATAGGTGGCTACAACTATAACTTGAAATTAGGATTTAAATGACGTTGAGTTAAATGCATCCCATGTTCAAAAAAAATTAACAATTGGGCTCGAACATAGGTATATTGGAGGCCGATGTGATGCTTGTAACAGTTGAGCTCTTTTACGTTTATAATTGCATAAAATGATGTATATGAACTCATGCTTAAAAAAAAATTGAGAATTTGAGGGTTGGCCTGGCCACCCCTGGCTCTCATGTGGCTCCGCCCATGTTGATAGGTGCCATTTTTTTTGGTATTATTGAAATGAGATTTTGTGATATAGAATTAAGGCAAGATATGCATGTTATTTTTGTTTGTAAGGCAAAAATAGATTACCATTTTGATTTTTAAGGAAACTATAACACGTTTTCATTTTTAAGCAAAAAAAGTATGTTACTTGCATTTTTAAGGCAATATTCATGCTACTTTCATTTGAAAGGCAAAAATGCATGCTACATTTGTTTTTAAGCCAACAACAAATTGATACTTTTGTTTTTAAGCGAGAATTAACATTCTACTTTCATTTACGAGCAAAATATGCCCCCTCATTGAGTACCTTTGGAAGTTTGTTCAATGGGGCCGGTTAGGGTTGCTAACATCAATCTTTTGCATTGATAAATAATTAAATAGTTGTAGCCATTAAAAAGATAGTAAACATCACACCCAAAGCAAAACCTTATTGTGATGTCTCAAATCCAAGTGCAGAGGACATACATGATAATATATCCAGAAATATGGGTAAGTTTCAAATTTGTTGTCAATCTCAAAATTAAATACTAATTAGAGGCTGTTATTTTGTTTACCGCCATCTGTTGTGTCAAAGGAAATGATATTTGGATAATTCTTAAAATAATAATATGTAAAATTTACCTTATTCTGCTTTAGGACGTTCATAGTTTTGAAATTAGAAGCATATATAGTTCAATTTAACATGTCATAAATAGAAACATTTATGAGAAACCAAGAGCAAAATTAAAATAACTTTAACTTACTTGTCCCCTGTTTTTAGTAACTCCATGTATTTTCGGTATAACAAGCTCTGTAGAATGATTCTAACTTAAGTAAGTTGAAATGTGAAATTTTGGAAAGCTGAGAAAAAGACTAAAATTGTCATTGATAAATCAATATCAATGTTGCGTATGTTAAAGGGAAAATGTTTAGATGGTGGAATACATTAGAAGTGACTGAACATGATCTTTGAGGCTATTTTTAAAAACGAGGATGAAGAGGGCAGTTATATCCTTTGCACACCTAAGACCGAGAGTGAGATTTGTCCCATTGACATCGGTCCAATCAATAAAAGATTGTCTGTTATGTCCTAACATGTCCTACATAACAGATCCAACCCAAAGCATGTAGCACATGTTAGAATATAGAAGACGACCTTGTATTGATTGAATCAATGACAATGAGACTAAAATTGATTTTTTTTTTTATCAAAGGTCCTGTCCCTTCCAATGTTGTCCTCCATCTAATCATGTTCCTTTTAACAAACATTTATTTTTTCCCTCAATTTTTATTTCAACTTACTTAAGTTGGAATCAAATGTATAGGGCTTGCTATACCAAAAATTTATGAAGTTACTGAAAACAAAGGACACGTTGAAGTTATCTTAAATTTGCTATGATTTCTCATAATGGTTTTAATTTATGACATGGTAAACTTAACTATGTTTCTAATTTCAAAACTAGGAACAAACCGGAGCATATTAAGGTAATTTTCACATGTTAGTAATGTAATAATTGTACAAATGTCATATCCTTTGACACTGCATAGGGCGTCCGCAAAACAACAACCTCTACTTAGTATTTGAGTTTAAGATTGACTACATATTTGAATATCTTGTTGTTTTTGGATATATTTTCATTTATGCCTTCTGCACCTGGATTTGACATGTTAGGAGAAGGCATTACATTGGGTGTGATGTGTACCATCTTTTTAATGGTCACAACTATTTTTGCCAAAGCTTTTTGTTTATGCCACATAATGTGTGGGTAATCCTAGTGCATTCTTATCAGTATCAATGCAATTATGGTAATATTATGACAAAATAGAACAAGACATTGGTGCAATTATGGTAATATTATGACAAAATAGAACAAGACATTAAACTTGCAAAAATGGTCCAGGATTTTAGATAAATGTAACGACCCAAAAATCCTTCCGTTAACGATGTTAACATCCGTTAAATGAATATTTATTTTGAGTAGACGACATTGCAAAGTTCTTGGATTACTGGTTTTGGGTCTTATATATCTCTTAAAAAAAAGATGGTCATTGTACCACTTGGATGGGGGTGAGGGTGGGTAGTAGGGAGTAGGGACCATATTTAATAATTATTAAATTAAATATAGTAAAAGAAGCTAAGGGCAATTTAGTAATTTTATATGGTTAGATAATCTATTGTAAAAAATAGACCCTGAGGCTGTGATATTTAAAAAAAGGTGGACTTGAAGTGAAATAATCATACAAATTTAAGGACCTTTTTATGTAATTTACTTTAAAATTTATAGCTTTTGTATAATTTTAAGGTTTTGAACTTGGTGCCTATTTGTTTTCAAATATTGGTTGTACTCCCTTGCATTGTTGACAAATATATGTGTATCTATAATGGGTCTATAGTTGGTTGTTTTATGTAATTTACTTAAGCTTTTGTATGAAATGTTTAGATTTTGAATTTAGTGTCTATTTGTTTTCAACTTGGGATGTGCAACAGATTGGACCCGACTCGTACCGGACCGCGAATTGAAAAAACCAAATATTGGAAAAGCTTGAAAATGTAAACCGCAAATCGGACTGGATTAGGAGACCGGTTTTGGATCGGTTCCAGATCTAGAACCAGATTTAGCAATGACATTTTTTGTTTGTTTGTTTGTTTGTTTTTTTATTTTTATAGTTGTAATTAAAGAAATAAGAAACAAGAACAATTATAATGATGAAATCTACTTTAAGAAATTAAGAATAATATATATACAAATTAAAAAGCTTAGGTCCACTTTTGAGTAACTTGGCTTAAGAAAAGATATAGGAATATAACTGAAAATGACCGCTTCTTAAAAGAAAGATTAACAATTTTTCGAAAAGTGATTACAGATTTTGGAATTTGGTTAAGTTGCACAATACTTTTGAGTTGTGATTTTTTTTTTTTTTTTTTTTTTTGTAATTGTTTTCCAGCAATTCAGAATTGGTTAAGTTGCACAATACTTTCGATAACAAATTCAAAATTGCTTTCCAAAGCAATAAAACTAACACTCTGTTTCCGAGTCTCATTTAAAGAGGGAAGTGGAGAGAAAATGAGGGAATCGGAGAGAAAGATGAAAAAATCACGACCCCAGATGTTTTTTTGGAATGATTTGGATGGAAGAGAGAGGAAATTGAGGCTTGATCTTCTCTTCTAATCTTCCTCTCAAATTGGAAGGATTTAGAGAGAAAGAGAACTAGGTTGATTTTTTTTTAAAATGGTAAAAGTAAAATAGGTAGGATGCTATATGATAAACAACTCAATGGTAATAATGGTATATTTCTTTATATAATCTGCTAAGCTATATTTGATTTTGCGCGTAAGTAGAAGATAAATGTAACAAGGAGGATGTAACGTTACACAGGAGCAAAAACTAAATTTTCTAACAAGTGACCAGAGCATATAGCAAGGTCTTTGGGTAAAAAACATGTTTGTGTTTCTAACAAGTGACCATTTTATTTGTACTTTTGAGTAGAGGACATTGCAAAGTTCTTAGATTGGTGGTTTTGGGTCTTATAATCTCTTAAACAAAGATGTTACTTGTACCACTTCGATGGCGTGGGGGATGGTAATAGGGACCACATTTAATAACTATTTAATTAAACATAGTAAAAGGATAAATAATTGAAGTGTGCAATAAGCAACGAATGGAACGGGAGTCAAAGGATATAGAATTGAATTTATGTATGAAAACCTCTTTATAGGCATTAAACTACACTATTAACCGTGCCATGCTGGACCATACATACTCAACAAGATCTCAATCAAACCAAATCACACACAAAAAAAGTTATAATTAGGTTTTGTAACTAAGTGGCATAATTGACTTCGGTTTAGACTTTCTATTACACAACCAAAGACACAATTAAATAACAATCTTATAAACAATCAAGTCCTTTCTATTTTGAGTGGGAGGGGGTGAAATGTAACTTTTGGTAAAATAGATGTAATGATAAAATTATACT